TTTCTGCTATCACTACTAACTTTTCAATTCAAATACTAGTAGTATATATCTCAAGCCAGGTATCTGCTGTCACTACTGGTTTGCAATTCTTCTTGATCTTAGTGTTATTCAAACATATTATGCATTTAATTTGTCTCTTAAGTACTTCCTTTTATAATATAAATAGAACTATGTTTTGGAAATAGTATTTTCATTTTCTTCTAGTCATTGACTAATGTTTAATTTCTACTTAAATATATGAGAACTTATTTTGTATTTGCACTGCCCAAAGCTGGTTTGCATTCCTCTGTATATACTAACTTATACAGATATCTTTATAAATCTGCATTTCTACAGATGCCTTGTACTTGTTTGCAAAAGTTATTTTCAATTTAAATATCTTAAATTTGATTGGTACAGTATTTATATTGATACGTTTCACTTGTTTTACTATAGACTTCTATATAGATGTAACTAAAACTCCAGTTTGGTACATTTAGATATATAGAACAGGCTACAACTTCTCTATATATATAGCTACCTTTTATTTTCAATCATTCCACAATATCAAAAGTGCTTCTAATCTTAATAAGGCTAATTTTTTATTACAGACTTTTTATGTATGCATTGCTTTTTTTAACACTCCAATGCATTATTTTGGTATCACCCTTTTAATTAAATATTTTCTAAGTTAGATGCGAAAATGTTAGTACTGCCCTATTTCTAGAAGACTTATATATATAATACTTTGTATAATAGAATCTTCTGTAATGTTGCTATTACCTATAGTATCCGCACTCTGCAAAGTCAGTCTTTTTCTGAAAATTTTTTTTTCTATTATATACTATACTTGAACTTAATCACAGAGTTTCATGTTCAATTACAGGCTCTTTATAGATTACAAAAACTAAAAATCTTTTGATTTTGCCTTCAGCTAAACTTGAACCATTAACCTTAACTATAAGGGTATAAGAGCTTAACAATTAAACTATAAAATCCATACTCATTAAGAATAATTTTTTTAATTTTAAGAATATATAATATTATAAAATTTTTTATTAATTTTAAAAAAAATTTTGATAAAATTTATAAAATATATTTTCAATAAAATTTTTATAAAAAAATAGAATTACTTAATAAAGTAAATAAGTTGACAACCTTCTAAATAACAGATTGCAAGTTCAAATCTAATAATAATAAAATTTGAATTTTTATCTATAATATATCAATTGTTTCTAATAATTAGATTAAGATATCTATAATTATTATTACATCAACATAACTAATAGATTATAAAGTATTTATATAACTAGTTATATAAAAAAATGCAAACTAATATCAGATAATACAAACTCAAAATAAGTTCTTATGATCATATAAATCTATAAAAATTAAAAAACAAGAAACTTATTTAGAAAACTTAAACAAAAAAATAGTATAAACCTTTAATAATACTATTATAAAATCTAATCTTAGAAAACAAATATTAATATAAAAGAATGAAACAGTCAAGAATCTTAAATGAAAAGTATTACTAATTAGATTATTGAAATTAGATCAAAATAAAATGATATTAAACTAAAACAATATACCAATAAACTAGTTATAGTTTTATTAAGCTATTTAGATTAGAAAACTGAAGACAAAAGCAAAATATACTAAAGTAATTTAGATATAATATGAAGTAATACTAAAGTTTAGATAAATTTTGTAAAGACATAATAGTTTAAAGATTAATCCTAACTATAAGTATTAATTCAACATAATGATACTAAGTTAGCTATAAAATAAATATACAGAAAACTCTAAAAAGTTTATTTTGATGATAAAATAATTCTAAGATTAAGACAAAAATCTAAACATGATCAGTAAAGTTAACATGAGTTACAGATTCAAAAAATTTAAAATAACATATCTAAGCAGAAGTGTTAGATATAACAATTAGTAAGAAATCTTTAAGTAAACTCCTTAAATAAGCAATATAGAAAAATTACATGTGTAACCAATTGTACACTTTTTCTGTAGTAGTTCCACATAGAACACATTACCAAAAATGTTAATAAAAATTAAAAGACCCAAGAGATCACCTTAAAATAAAATAAAATAAAATATTTTATAAGTAAACTATACCCCATATTATTAATAATTTATTGTATTATTTAAAAAATACAAATTTAATTTAAAAATTCAGGCAAATTTGCCTGGAAAACGGTTTAAGGGATAAGTTAAAAAGCAAGAGCTCAATAATAGTTTATATAAAATATGATCAATTTCATGATACGAGAAATAACCTTTTTTACCATAAAAGAGTAATTATTTAAACCGGAGCACAAATGCAAGTTCAGTAAATTTATGTTTCACTATTATGAACGAGCTTTTTTAGTGTGCTAATTGGTGTGTTAATGGTATGTTAAGATATAACGATAATAATAAGATTTCTAAGCCAATTTCATCCAATCCAAAGCAGGATTTTTCTCGTCCAATAGGAACTGGTAACGCCTAGGACAATTCTAAATGCCGAATCGGCCGAAAACTCATTCGGCTAATTTTTAACAGGTGTACCAAAATTTATATTAGCATATTTATTATCTAGGTAGGTTTTTTATGGTTGTTGTATATAAAATTTTCTGAAATGAAATTAAAGCCGGGTTTCTGGGTCACTTTTAAAATTTCTGTTATGAGAATCAATTTATTAAGTTTGTACGGCCTAACCTCTATTTTATTTTATTAATACATCATAACCTAAATTTTAACAAAAAAAAACTATATATGTATGTGGTGATCAGTAATATTTATTTCTAATTTAAACCTTTTAAAATTTATTATCGTTATTAATAAAACTTAATGTTTCAAAAATCCGAATTGGTTCAGAATTGGATTCTAACTATTTTATCTCACCGTAAAAATCAGTTTGGTCAGATTGGGTTCAGACTAAGCAAATTAGAATCCAATTTTTTATTACTCAAAAACCCAGGGTTGAGATAATTTACCTGGTAACGTAACTTGTACAGTAACTTACACATGACTCTTATGTAAATTACAAATTTATAGATTTTATGCCAGCCAGAATTATAATATAAATGGCTTGATAATATAAAATTACAATTACAATTTTTTTCGAGGTAAATAATCAATGAACCAAATTACTGGCAGGGTTTTTCGAGTTATTTCGGGATGAACCCAAATTACTGGCGAGAAATATTCGTGTTATTTCGGGATGAGGTAAGTTACACTTAAGTTGTGTAACTTAATTAAACTTACGTCAGTTAAAATAGCTTACATAAGTTATCCAACCATGTCGGATTACTCGGCTTCGGCTTCGGCTCGGTTTAGGTTCAATCTCGGATCAGACCGAGTTTTAATCCGCATAATATACTATACAACATATATATTGTAAGCCTTAGCACCAATATAAAAACTTTTACGTCTTATATCATCTTTTAGAACAGTTAAAGAATACCAAGATTTGAATTCTCAACCTAATAAATTTTGCTGGCCAATCAGATTTCAAGATCAGTTGAGCGCAGAACAATCAAACCGAACCAAAAAAGCGGTTATAACTCAACATTTTACCTATGAAACCACCTTCTGCACACTAACAAAAAGTTTTCCTAATGAAATTTTGGTGCAATTAGAACTCTTCTTAGCCTAATTTAATAGCAAACCTAACCTTAATCTAACAGCCAAATTTTTTTTAGCGAAAATTTTTTAGGTTGACAGTTTTTATACGTCACACCTTATCTCGGAATTTCCGATCGGGCTAATTCGGAAAAATTAGGGCGGAGTACTTATATGTCATTTACCTTGGTCGTTATTGTTATTGATACAATAACCTATTTAATTAACTATTATATCAATAAAGGGTAAAAGACTATTTACATATAAATAAGAACCGGTATTTTGGCCCAAGTTTTTCGATTGGAAATCCCAAAGAGAGATTTTGTTATATATAATATATAATATATATAATATATATATGTATATATAATACCAAATACTGTATATACTTATATAGTAAATACCAAAAATTGGTATGTATGTTGTGCACCAAATGTTAATTTACCTAATTGTTAATCGGGATGACCCAAAGAGTAATTTACCAAATTTATCCAAATGCCCGGCCTAAATTAATTAGTTTAGATTGATAATTTAGGCCAGATTGGCATTTAAGACAAATTGACATTTGGAGCACAACATATAAAAGATATTTTTATATAAAATTATTTATATAATAAATATGCAAATCTAATAAATATTCTATTAATACATATATTTAAAAAATTATTGCCAATATGCTTATTTTAGAATATTTGTATGCATGATGTAATCTCATTTTGTAGCATAAACATAATATAATAGTGCATATATTAACAAATAAAATAAAAACAGTTTCTGCAAGAGATTATTGAGATTCTAGAAAAAAGATTCAGCATTTTGTATTAAATCATGCAAAGTAAACATAATATACATTATTGAAATATCGGATATACGTAAAACCCGGCGATGGTAGAATAATTCTTCAATGATCATGTGAAAAATTTTTAAACTTTAAATTTAAGTTTAATTTGTCACAACAGAAACATAGACAATGTTGTTGTTATGCATATATAGTAATGTTACAGAACCTTTAAAATCACTATTTGTCACAGATTATTAATCAGTGTTAGTTTTTTTTTCGAAACATATTATTAATAATAGTTATCATATAAAAGAATTATTTGAGAAAGCTATAATTAGTTAGCTATAATCAAGCAAGAATATGAAAATAATTCACTAGTAAATGAACAGCTAAAGTCAAAACAGGTAGATTAGATGAAAAGAAATCAAATTTCATAAAAGAGAAGGTGGACGCACATACCAAACGAAATTAGATGATCTTTATGCAACGTGGCAGAACATGGAAATGAATGACATATGTAATCAGAAGGTCACGCTTTAATGGTGTTCAATGACCGTCATTTTTGTTATTTCACCTTTTCGAGTTCTTTCGGCTGATGCTGTTCAACAAGAGTCAGGTTACTCTAAATTCCATATTGAGCAAATGCGAGGTCCCAGCCCACAGCCTTGGCTTGAGACTTACATAATAGTGGATGTTAATGTGCTATATAATGTGTTTACATTTTGCCGCTTTCCAAAATGCTTGTTGCTTCAAGTTTGGATACACACAAACAATTGATGTCCATAACAGATTTATAAAAGAAGTTGTAACAACATCACATCCCTTACCAACGCACGCAGGTTTCCCTCCAAACTTTTTTTTCTTTCCCCTTTCCTGTAATCAATCTCCTTCCGTTCTTCCATAGTGCGTATAGTGTGCGTATATCGTACAACTGTTCTTACATTCTTTCATTTTCCGAAGTCCCTTTAAAAAGGACAGAACCTTCTTTTTTTTAGTATCTTTTTATGCGTTGTTGTGGACTTCTATAGCCCTTAATCAGTTGGCTTCTATATAAATTTGCTTTTTACTTCTTGACCTTATAAATAAATTTGACGAGTGTAATCGTCACTACTTGCTTTCTTTTTTTAGGCTTTGCGACTTTCACTTTTTTTTTCTTTTTCTTTTTTTTTTTCTTTTTTTTCACACTTGCTGGTCTTTTATTTTAGCTTCTCTAAGGTATTTATGAAAAGAAATTTCTACTTTGACATCTTCATGCAAATCTATTATTATCTCAACTCAATCTACGAACTATTACTCATTAATAACTTTTTACCTTTTCACCATCTACAAAGATTTCTCTTGGTTATTGCTAAAACGGTTCACCCTTATATTGAGTACGTAAGATCCTATTTATTGTCACCATAATATTTGTCTCCTCCTATTTTTTACTTTATTTGTTATTATTATTTGGTTTTATCTCTTTCCTTTTAATATAAATCTCTCATTTATTTCATATTATTTACATATATAACGTTACTCACATCTCTTTTCTTACCTCCTTTTAATATATATTTCTTTCTAGAGTATAAAATTATGTATGCGCAAAGGGATTCGTCGGGTACCCTACTTACTCAGGCTTTTCATCCACCATCGTCAGAGGAACATTTTCCTTCTCCTCAAAATTTTTTTGAACAGCAACAGCAGTACAATCAAGAACAACTTGAAGAGATCCAAGAACAACTCAACCAATCTAATATAGTTCAACGTTTCCAAATCAATGAGAACAATAATTTTGCTTTTCAGACCTTTGATAATAATTCACTTCTCGAAAATTCTCTCACCACTGATTGGTCACAACTTTATGGAAATGATGATATGTGTGGCTTAGTAGATGGTTCTAATTTTTCTAACAGTGTCTTTGTTGATGGTTTAATACCTTCAAATTTAGTTGATGGTAGTTCTTGGGTACTTAATCAAAACAATAGTTTTGTCAAACAAGAAACTCATTCTTCATTATCAAATTCGCCTTCCGAGGCCGGTTCTGAACATAATAATGAGTCTGTTATGTCCTCTAATTCTAACGATCATGCTAGAGCTCAAACCCCTGGTCCTTTTCAAAAATCTAATATTCCAAATTATTTAACCGCTCGTCGTCGAAGCTTATCTGCTGATAATATACATGCTTTGGCAAAAGCTCATCAACTAGCTAGTCGTAAGGTCACGTATCTCGCTCAACAAAATTCCGATCAATTATCTTTTCCCAGATCTCAAACTATGGGTTTTGATCATCATTCTCAATTCTCTCTTCAAAATACAAAACAACAGTCTATTCAATTACAAGAAACCACTATAAATCAGAACATTTTACATGTTGATAATCAAAATACTAATCAAATTAATGATAATGATGTTGACCGTAATAATTGTCAACAAAATAATTCTATTACTGCTAGTCCAACTCATCAATCTACAAATCGTCCTCAATTATCTATATCTGTTTCACATCAACAGATTGGTCCAATTAATCATGCTCAAAGGCTTACCGAATTTCAAGCTAGATTCAAAGTAAAATTAGATAAAAGAAATCAAAGAAGTATGCCAAATATTCATGCCGCCGCTCATGCTGCTATGGTTCAATCTTCTGTAAATCTTCAAAAATCTAATCCTTCAATCGGTGGCCCTAACGGCAGTGTGCCTATAATGGAACTTAATCAGCCCTTGTCCTCCCAGACCTTCTCCACTGAGAAATCTAATTCTCTTAAACCACCTCCTAATCAACCTCGTCGTGGTCATATGCGTAAACGTTCTCTTTCCGCTCCCACGACTCCATTTCCAAATCTTACGCAACAGTCTCCCGGTTCTATTCCCTTGCAACCTGCTCAATCTTTTCCTCTAAACTTTCCTATGTCCTTCAGAAGGCCTAACGCTTTACCTATTCAAATTCATAGAAATCCAAAACATTCTCATGCTAGTGCTCCTTTATCTTCTGAGGAGTATCAACGTAAACTTAATGAAGAATTAGAAAAAGTTGACTTTGATGATATCACTGTTAGTGAACTCAAAGAAATGTTACGTCAAAGAGGTAAACCTGCTACTGGTAAAAAAGCTGTTTTAATGCAGAGGCTTCAAGAGGAAGTAGAACACGTTAAAGCTATGAAAAATAATAGCCAACAACTTAAGAACCAAATGATGTCATCTCCCACATCTCCTTCTAGTGGTGTATCTTTGCAAAGAAGTATTGCTAATTTACAAATATCCAGTCCGCCCATACATTCTAGACGCTTTAGTCCTTATGGCAGTGTCAGTATTCCGGGCAGTCCAAGAATAATGCCCAGCGGGCTGGGTAATGGGCGATCTGGCTTTAGTGGAAATGTTCCTTATTCTGAAGGTGATGAATGGCACTTTCACAATGTTGGAATGGTATCACCATTAGCTTCACATGATCTTGAAGATGCGGTTCAGTCTCAAACTATGATTATAATGGGATCACAGCAACCGCAAGAAATGTATGGACAACAACAACCTTCTTCTGCACCACCTACCACAACTGAATTTGAACAAGCATTTCAGCAACAACCATCATCTGCTCCTCCGATGACAACTGAATTTGAAACTTTTGAATTCATGAATCCTTTGGCTATGAATATGATGTCAATAGCTCCTGATATGATGAGGCTAAATGTTAATGATAATGATCTAAAACAAAATCCTTCCGAAAATAAATCAGTAATGAATGATGATCGACAATCATCAGGTTCACTGGTTTCGTCAACATCAAATGATGCAGTGACCGGAATGTTGACACAACAGACTTTAGAGTTCGATTTTAATACTCAACATCATTTACAAGATGGAAATGTTCTTATAAAGTCTGAAGGTATTTATTGATTATTTCCTATGTCTACTATCAAATTCTTATTTTTTTAATACTGTATAAATATAATATATATATATATTTTTTTTAGATTATCTTAACTATTCCCCTATGGCCTCTATTTCTCATCAATCTTCTCAGCATTTACCTATGCAAATTGAACTTGCGCAAGATGGGATGCCTTTTAGTGGATGGTGATTGTGTTGTAAATGGGCTGGAACCCACATTGATATTCTTAAAATTTTGGGCACGTGGCATCTTTGATTTTATATTTATTGTTAATTTTACTTATAATATATATACATTAAAAGATAAGTCACTATTAGTATATCATATTAGTATTTACTCTTGTATTTTATGTTGGTGGTTTTTTCTATTTTTATCTTTTATCTCTTTTTTGTGGAATTTTGAGATTGTGGCCTTGAAATCTTTATTTTTTTCGACTCTGTTTGCTCTAAATATTTTCTGAATGGATATTATTGCATTAACCGACCCGGAAGTGTTATATGTACTATTAGCATGGTTATATAGAGTATATTATCCTGTTGTTTTTTAAAGAGCATTTATATGGTTAGGATATCAATTCTAGAATGAGTCGTGTACCTTCGTCCTCGACTTTTCACATCTCACTTCACATCTACTTCACATATACACTTTTCCTTTTACCTTTAAAACCGTGTTTTTATTTTCTATTTCAATTTATATGTTTTGTTGGTTTTCATTTTCTTTCTTTCTTCATTCAAAAACTTTTTTTTTTCTTGTAGTATAGTTTTCCCCTTCCCCTTTTTTCAAAACTATCATTTTTTGTTCCACTTAAAATACGCAATAGATACAAAATAAAATTTCTTCCTCTTTTTTTTTTCTAAAAACTCACATTTTTCATTTGTAGTTATTTTTTTTATCAAAAACAAAAAAAAAAAAAGGTGAGCTAACAAAAAAAAAGGAGTGACTTCAAGTTTAACCTCTCTGTATATTGAACCTTTGAAAATTTATATACATATTTTAGGCTATTTCTAGATATGTATTAGGTTTAACGTTGTGAATTTTGCTTTTTTCTTTATTGAATGAATACGAAAGAATTTGAAGTTTTTTTATTTGAAAAAAAAGGATAAAAAAATGAATAAATAGCATACATATGCATATATATATGTATGATATACTATTATAATAAAAGATTTATTTTTTAAAAGATATTTTAATTATCATTATATATTATATATATACATTACATTTATTTTTAATAATTTTAATCTTTTTTTTTTTAATTCTTACTTTTTAATTTAATATATTTTATTATCTTACATATATACGTATACACGCAATAATACGGACATTATGTTTAAAATTTTTATTAAACTAGAAAAATTATATCAATATTTGTTTTTTTAATATAATAAAAAGAATCTTATCATTTTATCATTTTATCATATATATTTCGTAATTTATATAAATAGACTACGTACAGTATTTGTAGCTTTTTAAAATTTTAACGAAATTTAACAAGAATATTTAAATTTTGTATATATTTAAAATGCCTTTTTTTTTTTTAATAAAAAACGATTTAAAATTTATATTTATTGTTTAATTATAAAGTTAATCTTTTTTTAGTATTAGTATGATTATATTTTACATACATATTAACTAAAACGCAATTATAAGCTATGTAAATATTCAAAAAAAACTAATTAATCGTATTTGATATCTAAGTAAAAATATTTTGCGTTTAAAAACTGCTTTCGAAACCTTAAATCCGACTCTAAATCTATAAAAACTTAAATAACCTTGTAAAAATATCTACAGTTTCCGTCAAAAACATTTCGCATTTACAACTTGTTATAAGATTTTACTAAATTAAAATTTGAAGTAAAAATTATAATAGAAATCTAAATATTGATGTTGCTATTATAGTAACAAAAAATATAAAAAAATTAAGGTTTAATATTTTAACTTTTAAATATAATATCAAAATTTCAAAAAAAAATTCAATTTTGAATTTTTTCAACTACTCTTACTATATCAAAAAAAATTTTTTTTAATATAAAGTATAACCTTTTTAAACCAATATGCATAATAGTCAGTTTTTTAACAAGCTATTAGTTTTGAAATACTAATAACTTATTAGTTATATAGTTGGATTTATTTTTTATATTTATAATGTTATACAGAATCTAATTTAAACCAATCAAATTAATTTATTTTATTTGTCAAATTTGATATCTTATAAATATTTAATTTTTAAATATTAGTTATTAGGTTTAACAAGTTATCAAGTTTGATTTATAAAACAAAAATAATAATGATTTTTTTTTTAATATTAAGGTAAGTATTTGTAATTTAAGATTTTATTGATAGTATGTTTTAGTTAATAATTTTTTTTTATAACAATTATAGTAATAATTATAAAAAGAATATACAACTAGTCACTTGTACAATTTTAGTTATTGTTTAATTTAAGTAGTTTGTTTGAAGATTCTATACTAATTGTTATTTCTAAAACCTGTTTGTAAGTTTTCTATTTAAATATTTTAGTTCTTGTATTTATTATCTATCTATTCTATTAACTATTTTTTTTTTTTTTTTTTTTTTTTTCCTTAAGCAGTCACGCTAGTACTTTATTAAGATTCTTGAAATTACTTTTGCAATTACATAGATTTACCTAACAACTA